TGTGGATCAAATTCGTTGTTCTTTGGACATGGTCAACAATTGTTTATTTTCCTTTTTCTACATCTTATCTACAAAGAAAAGATATTTCTAGATCGAGAGTAAATAATATTTGCCTACTTTGACTATCTTAATCAACGAGTCAAATTCGTTGTTCTTTGGACATGGTCAGCAATTGTTTCGTTTCTTTTTTCTACCTTTTCTCTACAAAGAAAAGACATTTCTAGATCGAGAATAAAGAATATATGTCTACTTTGACTATCTTAATCAGCGGGTCAAATTCGTTGTTTTTTAGACATGGTCAACAATTGTTTCTTTTCCTTTTTCTACCTTTTCTCAATAAAGAAAAAAATATTTCTAGATCGAGTGTAAAAATTATTTGCCTACTTTGACTACCTTAATCAAATGTAACTTGAGTATAAAAAGATGGGATACTACAACTTTAAGTTCATTTTATAAAATCTTCAAAACTACTAGTATTAAAAAAAATATTCGTAATGAGTTCCTCATCAGCATTTTCCATAATATTAAGTGTAACATTCGTGGTTTTTCTCTTTGGCGGTCTTTGCAAAGCTAATAGTGTGGTACAAGTGGACATCATTAATGATATTGGTTCAAATATTCAATTGGGACTACACTGCAAATCAAAGAACAAAGATCTCGGATCACAATCTTTAGCCCAACATCAACATTGGGGGTTTAGAGAAAATATTAATTTTTGGGATACGACTCTATTTTTTTGTCATTTTGTATGGGAAAATCAATCTAAATGGTTTGATATTCTTGTAGCTAAAGATATAGATATATGTGAACATCTTCCGTGTGTTTGGAGTATAAGACCTAGTGGTCCATGTAGATTAACGGGTAAAGAAACATGTTTCCCATGGAACTAATGTAATATAGGAATAAGGTTGTTACAAGATTTCATATCTATAAAGCTAAGAAATAAAAAGTATTATTATTATATTTTTTTTGAATGAATGTTAAATTTATTCACACCAAAAAATTGTTTTTGTGCTACCGCTTTAATATAATAGATAACAATATCCATTTAATTTAACATAATAACAATTAAAGTACATAAACAAAAAAAACATATATATATATATATATATATATATATATATATATATACAACTAAAATCACATACCAATTAGACATAGGAGTTTATTCTTGGTTATGCTTTAATTGTGCCTAGAGATTACAAGTAATAATTATCACGGAACGGAGTTAATATGACAGGACGGGTTTGGATCGATATTAATATATGACAGTATATCACAGGTGAAATCCTAGAACCAATCAAAATACAATTATACAATATTAAACACAAAATAAAACAAACAATATTAATAGAACAAATACAAAAAAATTAAATTTTTAGTTACACAATGAAACCCCGAGGTTGACCGCGGGGTAAAATCACCATATAAAAACCAAATTCTATTACACTTAAAATATTACAAAGTTACAATTATTAAAAACCGTACAGAATCAAATTTACGTTACGGTACCAATAAAACAGAAAAAATTAATACAGAAAACTCATCAGTTTATAAAAAGAAATTTAAAACTTTAACCCGCAATGTACTGCGGGTCATATCCTAGTATATATATATATATATATATACTATGGAAACCATTTGAAAGCAAACATTGAAATTGATTTGAATTATGTCTTTTAAAAAAAAGTATTATTAAAACAAAAAATAACAAAATAATATTTAATTTCACGGGAGGGCGTTAGATGGTGGGACGGGTTTGGGTCGATATTAATATGAGACAGTATAATACAGGTGAAATCCTAGATATAACAAGCAAAATACAATTATATCATCTTACACACTAAACAAAACAAACTATATTAACGAAAAAATATAATTTAAATTTAAAAATTTTTAGTTATAAAAAAGTCAATCCACGGTGTACCGCAGAGTATATAATCTAGATTTTAACTCAATGAATTGTATGTTATTGTTCCTATATTTTAAAATGGTAAACCTCAAACATAGTAATTGTACACTAAATATTATATATATAAGAGTTATACATTTAGAAAATTCAAAACATTAGGTCATATATACAGTTAATCTACTAAACAAATTACAATTTGATTTTTTTTTTAAATATAGCCCCGCGGTGTATCGCAGGTTATAATCTAATTTTCCATAATATTTGGTGTAACATTCGTGGTTTTTCTGTTTGGCGGTCTTTGCAAGGCTCATCGTGTAGTACAAGTGGACATCATTAATGATATTGGTTCAAATGTTCAATTGGGACTACACTGAATTGAACAAAGATTTCGGATCAGAGTCGTTAGCCCAACATCAACATTGGGGGTTTAGAGGATTTATTAATTTTTAGGATACAACTCTTTTTTTTTGTCACTTTGTATGAGAAAATCAATCTAAATGGTTCGATATTCTTGAAGTTAACAGATATATATATATATATATATATATTTATCATCCGTATGTTTGGAGTATAACACCTAGTGGTCCATGTAGATTAGCGGGTTATAAAGAATGTTTCCCATGGAACTAATGTTAATATTGAAATAACATTGTTACATGATTTCATATCTATAAAATAAAAATATATTAATTTTTTTTACTATGTCTGGTGATAATTACCATATTCAATTTTTTTTGATGAACTCTATCGACTGATCCGGTTAGTTCCGGTAGAAATGTAATGAAATGATTTAAAGTGGAGTTCGTTCTCCTCGAAGGATCACCATATTGTTTGTCTCAAGTTTGGTATGCTTTCCGACTAATGCATGAAGATAATCAGATTGCTTGTTATTGGACTACCATATAAACGCTTGAGCTATTTTGTCTAAATAGATGTAATTTTTGTTTCTAAAGGAAGTCGAACATGGATTAGTTCATTCCAACATTTCTCCAATTCTCAACCACAATTAGACCACGACCGTATAGACCAGAATCATATATATGAAAGGAGGCTATCTCTCTCCATCCTTCCGCCACGTCAGCATTTTAGACAATTCTGGAGCTGACACATCAGCTTTCTATCTTCCAATCAAAACATTTCATTAATATGATTAAGCTTTTATTTTTTACACATCATCTTTTAATTAAAATTGTCAAATGGGAAAAACACAATAGCCCATGAGGAATGGGCCATATGGATTTGAAAATCTATTTCACAAGTTAATAATATATTTATTATTTAATTATATATATTATTTAATTTTACATATTGATTTCTACTAATACTAACTTATTTTGTTATTTTATGTTTTTTTCAATGAAATTATTTTATTGGTTTAATTTACTCCAAAAAAAATTTCGCTAATTTTTGTAATCTTAACTCAAAATATGAGTGGATAATAGTATAGTGAATTAGCTAATGGTTTGAGTAAGTTTTTCTCTTAATTTTTTATCTATATATGACACTGAGGGTGGAGAGTACGTAAGGTCATCAAATTTTTGAGGTTCTATAATCCCAACATTACCATCTATAAAATTGGTTTAGGACAAAGATTGTTTACGGATTGTGTGAGTCATGCATTGTTGAGTATGTTGGTTGAAAATGTATTTTAATACTAAGAGTAGTTGTTCATTGTATGAGTAAATGATTAGATAATTAAAAATTATATTTATCAAAATATAACATCAAGTAAATCAAAATAAAGAAAAAAAAAAGGGAAAAACCCGCGGCGTTAAGCGGGTGATCAACTACCAACAAGAACAATCAAAATAATTTGTTATTAACAACTTTTAAAACAAACCCACGCGTAGCGTGGGTATTTATCTAGTGGTAAATAATAAATCAATGAATGAGATGTTAAATAATCACATATGAAGATGAGATAAATAATAATCCAAGAGATTGAGATGAGCAGTTTTTACTTTTTACATCATAAACTTACAAAGTTAAACATTTGTCCCTGGAGAGTGGACGCCTCCTTAGAGCGATAGCTATGGATTTAGGTTGGATTTGCCATTCTCTTTCACGAATCATGGAGGATAGATTAGTTCGTTTGCCTTATGATATTTATCTGATCTCGAAAAGCTCTGGGATAACTCCACTTTCGAAGTGCCTTAGAGTTTCTCTGCCCTTTATTGATAATTTTCTGTCAAACACAATCCCTTTAGTACATTTTATCTCTGGTTTGGCTGGTCGAGGACTCCACGCTAGCAGAGAAACGATTTCTTTAGGTTGTTTTGATAGATACCATCCTCGAGGTCAGATGCTAAGTTTTTATTGGACCCTATCCGAGACTCCCAACCACAGCCATTACCAATTGCCCAAAAGAGTTAAGAAGAACGTCATTATGATCCCGTCTCCACGGAGCGGTGATTACCGTATCTTCTTTAACTCTCTATATCCACATCCCCTGAAAATCGAGCTCATTCATGTGCATATCAAAAAGTTCAGGGATAATACTCAAACACCTAAAAGCTTGAAGAAGAACGGCATTATGATCTCTTCTCCAAGGAGAGGAGGTTACCGAAACTTTTTCAACCTTTTCTATCCGGCAGCTTTCTCCGAGGAGCTTTCTATCAAAAACTCGTATGCGTTAATCGCACGAGCCGTCTATGACCACCCATTTGGTCGAGGATTTCGCGAAGCCCGTCTTCATGGTCGAATCCGCTATGGCCTCAATAGATTTTCAAACACTGCAAGCTTATTTAAGCGTAGCACCTCTTTGGAAACCTCATGGAGCCTTTATCTTTATTTCCATTGTACTATCTCAAATTCAGTTTGTATGAACTTCCCTCTTTTGGGATCCTAAGTGAATGAAAGAGCTTTGTTTGTTCAAAAAAAAAAAAAAAAAAAAAAACATTTGTCCCAAAAAAAAAAAAGGTATTCTTAATAGAGTCACCGACTCTCTCATATGCTTTCTCTGGACAAACGCAAAAACTTTTGAAGAACCCTAAAAATCCCAAAATCCGCCGGAGAAGAAGATCGAGAAAGAATCAACTACTAATCTAAAGAATTCGCAAAATTCCATCTTCGTATCGCCTACGCGTGTGTATTCAATCTTCGAAATCAGGTATTTTGGTTTGGAAGTGGCGAAATCAATAGATTCGGCTTCGTCCTTCATCGCAATCTCTCGAAATAGATTTTTCTTCTATATGTAAATCCGTTTGTTTAAATCCATTTCCAGGAGCCTTTGATGATACACAAAGCTATGTCAAGTTATTATAATCCATCAGCAACAGCTTTAGTCTCTATTGATTCTGATGAACAAAGAAGAATCAAATATTTAGCAGATTTGAACATGATTGCAACACAGAGACATTCTTCTACAGATGGTCCTATGGCCATTCTCTGGGATATGGAGAATTGCCCTGTTCCTAGCGATGTCCGTCCTGAAGATGTAGCTAGTAACATAAGAATGGCTATTCAGTTACATCCTGTGATATCCGGTCCGGTTGTTAACTTCTCGGCTTACGGGGATTTCAATGGTTTCCCTCGTCGTGTTCGAGAAGGTTGTCAAAGAACCGGTGTGAGGCTTATTGATGTACCAAATGGTAGGAAAGATGCATCTGATAAAGCGATTTTGATTGATATGTTCTTGTTTGTACTTGATAATAAGCCGCCTGCGACTATTATTCTTGTATCGGGAGATGTTGATTTCGCGCCTGCGCTTCATATATTGGGTCAACGTGGGTACACTGTGATTCTTGTTATACCTTCTAGTGTGTATGTGAATTCAGCTTTGTCTAATGCTGGTAGGTTTGTTTGGGATTGGCATAGTATTGTTCACGGTGAAGGCTTTGTGCCGCTACGTAAACCTCGTGTTGTGCCATATCTTATGGAGTGTAGTATTAGTGATAACAGTAACATGGATGGTATGAATGAAGATGAAACAATTCTCTATAGAGGTAACTGTTATGGTTACACAAGAGAGTCTTCCTTGATGGTTTCGAAGTTTCATAATGAGTATAGTAGCAGCGGAATTTCGTGTTGGCCATCTAATTCAGGCGAGTCTTTGGCATATCCTCCTCCAGGTCACCTTGAGTCCACCATGTGGGTAGCGCCGGGAGATTTAAACGGTTTAAAGGGACAGCTCGTGAAGCTGCTAGAGCTCTCAGGTGGATGCATTCCTCTCATGCGTATTCCTTCTGAATACCAAAGGAATTTCAGTAAACCGCTTTTTGTATCGGACTATGGGGTGCACAAGCTTGTGGATCTGTTCAAAAAGATGAGTGATGTGATTGCAGTGGATGGTAAAGGCAACAAGAGAATTGTTTACCTTCGCAACTCGAAACCGAACATCATCTCTCCTTCACCCCCTGTGGTTCTACTGAGAAGAGAGAAGAAAGGAAAAGAGCCTAACGGGAAAACTACCAATGGAGGAATCTCCTCTGATGAATTCTCCGACACGGGCTCAGTTCAGAGCGAGAGGAACCTGGAAGAGTTCAAATTCGAGCTACAAGACATTTTGGTGAGCTATTGTTGTCAGGTACAGATGGATTGTTTCGAGGCGATATACAAGCTAAGGTACAAGAGGCCATTGCCCTACAAAAAGATGGGCGTGAATCACTTGGAACAGCTCTTTGACAAGTTCAGGGATGTTGTTGCCATATATGAAGATCCAGCTACAGGGAGGAAACTCATCAGCCCGGTTTAGGGGAGCCTAACTCAGAGTCATATAAGATCAGACTTCAGACGGTGCGTTTGTGAGCCGTTTCTATGCGTTCTCTATCACTCACTGGGGACAAGCAATGTAAGCTCCTTGCCTGAGATGCTCTCAGTATTAATGTATATGCTCTCTACTCTTTACTTAGAACAAACTGTTTACACGGAAGCTTTGATTCTGCATTGCAAGCATTTCACTTCTGTTACTTTCGAGAAATTGGAAAGAAAGAATTTAGCATGCGGAGCGTTTCGAGCCTTTTACTGTGTTGTTCTCTAGTTGGGAATAAGCCAGTAGTATTATTGTAATATTTGGCTGGTACACCACAATCTCATTCCTTTCTTTGTTTAAACATTTAGAACGTTTTTAAGAGCTCTATGTAAACTCAGTCCCTTCCTTTGTACTTCTAATTCACGAATACATTTGAGTAATAAACTCATTAAGTTTTCTACAAAGCTTATGTCTTTGTGTTTGGTTTGTCAAAAAACCAGAGTTTGACAAACCCTTTTTACAATGAATGCATCTATAGTTTTTAAGGTTTGAAAATGAAAACAGAGTTTTTGAATATCCGAAAGATGATGGCAAGAGCTTTGCTTGGACTGAGCTTTGAAGAACCTGGAGACATTTCACAGCGAACCAGTCTCGCAGAGCTTCTAATAAACCTCCATTACCCTAATTTGATACCGACAGAACCGTGCTGTCGATTTGTTTGAGAAGATTTGCTACGGATAGTGGTTGCTCCCCATGACGTCTTCGGTTTCATTCTCTCCATATCAAATAAATACTTGATTGAAAAACATATCGCAATGTAAATTGATGTGCTCGACTGAAACCTGATCCAGAGATTAAGACAACCGCATCCTTTGTTATATAGGATCAAACTTTGTTATATTAAATATATATATATATATATATATTTGTTTGATATTTATCATCTACAAGACTACAATACACACGAAAAGTTATCATATTTGAATCCATGTCATAATTCGATAACAACGACACTAGTACAAACTCTTATACCACAAACCTTGGAAAAATATTCAATTACAATAATTATTTATCATTTATCAATAATATAAGCATACAATACGAGCAATAGTACAAACCATTTCACTCTATATTTTGTTATTTTACTATAAAACATCTATTATAAATACGATTTTACTTTTATTAAAAAAAAAAAAAACATTAAGAGCGTGGGAGTCTGCAAACAAAGCAAATGCACACATTAAAGTCGTGTCCGTGACAACTACCCCTTCCTTTGTACTTATGTTGACACGAAGAATCACAATCTTTGGAAACACATTTCCCATTCGGTCCTACTGGTAAAGACAATGAACATTGTCCGTTAGGCAGCTGACCCTTCCATGCTTCAGATACTGTTATATTTAAAAGACAACATATAAATTGTATATTAAAAAACTGAAATAGTAATTATATTTTTTCGTCTTGTAAAAATTTATATGTTTTGCTCTTACTAATAAATAGTTTCTTTAATATAACACAAAATAGTTGAATATAGTTCTACTAAATATGGTGAAAATTTGACATAGAAAAACTAAATTTGAATTAGATTCTAGAAATTAAAGAGATTGATCTGTCCTTAAAGGGATCGACCGAACTCTGGTTGTGCAGATTCTAGACTCAAACCGTAATTTGTAAGAGATCTTCTCTCCTAGAATCTAATCATCATATATATGAAAGGAGGCTATCTCTCTCCATCCTTCCGCCACGTCAGCATTTTTGGCTCTTCTGGAGATGACACATCAGCTTTTTATTCGTCCAATCAAAACATTTCATTAATACACATCAGCTTCTAATTATAAGTGTTAAATAGAATAAAAAATAGCCCATGAAGGATGGACCATATGTGTTTTAGAATCTATTAGAGTGCAATATTTATGGGTCGAGCCCATTTCAGTGATGACTTAATGCTTCTAACCCAACAAATATTCTAATTCCCCACAAGACTTTAACAAAATAAATCTCTCCCACTCTCTGCTCGATCGTTCAATATGAAAGAAGAAGAATCTCAAGGCAAATTTCTCGACTTCGTAAATTCCATCCTTCTAGTATCCCTTTCTGTACATCATATTTCTTTAGAACAAATATTTTCTACCTTTTAACTGCCATAATGGAGGCCACGGTAGAAGTTACACAAAAACATATTCACACTCTCAGCTTATGGGATTACAAACTTTCACTACTATAAACTCTATAAATACTCAAACAGACATTGTTTATACCGGATTATGTGTTTCAGACAGCATCAGTAAATGTTTACCAAGATGCAAGAAACATAAAAACGAGAGAGTTCAATGAATCCCATTCAAAAAAGATAAAAAAAAACTTTGTACCCATAATAGATATTGAGAAAGCTGATAAAGTACCTTCTAACCAACTAGCAGAGCCATGAAGACGATGAAGGATATTACGGGAACAAGCAAGAGGTCTCAGCTGACAAGTAAGTCTTTTTCTCGGGTTATATTTCAAGTCAAAAATAGATCTAATCTTAAAAATTATAACTACATAAGATAGATTTAGTTTTATTAACTACATAATAACAAATAAAAAATAAACATAAATTAGCAAGAACAATCAATAATTTTTTCTTCACAATTTTCAAAACAAACCCACGCGTAGCGTGGATATTCATCTAGTGCTTATAACGTGACAATGAAACTACTCATCATTCGAAGGCAACAACGCATTATTCATGCAATAAATTCAAGTTCGATTGGTTCACAAAACCCTAAAGTTCAACTATTCCATGTTATATAATGTAATTGCTCTTTTTATTTGGCCAACAACTTATATATTATTAAAATGCAATTGCTCTTCTAAACTAGAAATCGAACATTAATTTTACAGATAACAAGATTTTTTTCTTCTAAACCGATAAAAGAGAAAAAAATAGAAAACTACTAAGAAAACTGTTTTTATCTTTCAAGTTTCAGGACTCATGCAGACACATTCACCTCTCTGGAATGATGAAAAGCTGCAAGAACTGGTTTCTCCTGAGGATATCCAGCTCATTAAAAGAATCAGGCCACGCATTGTCAAAGCTCCTGATGCTCCCACATGGATTTTTACTAAGGATGGGCAGTATTCTGTCAAATCAGTTAATGTCTCCCATCGCTGCAATAAAATCACTAAGGATTGTACTTTCTGTGGTGAAGATGAAGAAACTATTATCCACCTGCTGTTTCAATGCAGAGTTGCAAGAGAAATATGGGAGTTATCGCCACTTTCCATCCCATCAGATGGCTCATGGTTTAGTTCAGCCAATACAGCTGGCATTGGATGGGCACTCTATGATGCAAAAGGAGAATGTCTTGTTAAGGGATCCTCTTCAATAGATCCTGCCAGTTCGGCTTTGGAAACAGAGGCAATTGCTTTAAGGGAGGCTCTTCTCCAGATCAAACGGCTCAATTACAGCGGAGTTACTTTCTGTGGGGATTCCCTCACTTTATACTCTTATTTGGAGAAAGCTGGGCAACAATATCACCCTAATCATGGATGCTTAGAAATTCAGAGTTATTTGGAAGATATTCTGTCCCTTAATCAACGGCAATATCACTTCAAACATATCTGTCGAGAGGCAAACACATTGGCTGATCAATTAGCAAAGGAGGCTAGATCTAAGAATTCCCCTTATATTGTATCTTGGGTTACCTAAATGTATACTTCAAACTGTTGTACTATATTATGCTCTTCTAATGAATGAATATGTTGGCCGACAAAAAAAAAAAAAAAAAAAACTGTTTTTATCTTGAACAGTTGAACTCTAACATTTTTCTTTTAATCATTGAATTTAATCTTCTTTTCATTAATCGTTTATTTAGTTTCTCAAGAACAGCCAACAAAATACTTTGTTTTAGCTTGATTAAATTTCTTTTTAATTTGAACTCGTAGTGCAGTTGTCAAGTTTATGTGATTAGATAGATACTTTAATTACTACAACAATATATCGGGCACTTGCATCCGTTTTGTGCTTATTTAAAATTAAAACCTAATTTGCTAATCAAGTGCATGATCAATCAATATGATAAAATTTTGATATTTGATACGTATCAAAATTTGATCGATCAAATAACGTGTTTTACGATAAATACACAAAAGTTACAATATTTGAATCCACATGATAACGACACTAGTACAAACTCTTTGTGCCACATACCAAGCAAATATTAAGTTACAGTATTTATTTATTAATAATATGGATAATGTGAACTTGAATTTGGATGGTAATCTTATATTATAAAATTATAAACATTAAGAGCTTCTGGCAAGTCCATCCCGAGGTAAAGCCTTATGCTTTTAGGACCGGCCATGGCCTCTGCAAACAAAGCACAAGCACTCATTTTTTTTCTCTGGAGTACACCGACCGCCTCCTTTATACTTCTGGTGACACAAAGACTTACAATCTTTGGGAACACATATCCCATTCGGTCCTACTGGTAGAGGCAGTGTACATTGTCCATTCACCATCGCGCCAAATACTGTTATATTTAAAAAATAGGATATGAGTTTCTATATTGAAAATGAAAAAATACTCATCTTGTAAAAGTATATGTTTGAGGAATTTACTGATTATCTTTTACACTTCAAAACTATTGTACATTATGTATAAAACATAAAATACAACCTGATACATTTATCTATACAGTTTAAAGGGAAAAAAAATAATTAAAAAAAAAAGTAAAAGGCAATAAAAACAATATTGTATATCAATTCATATCATAATGATTCTTCATAATATATGATGATGATACACTTTTTATAAATGTAAGAATGAACCAAACATTTAAAGAAATAAATAAGTAAAAAAAAACTTTTGGGGATTATTAGTTTCTTAAGTCTAACAAGAAACAATTGAACCAATTCTTCTAAGTATATTATAGATTTGATATAGAAAGGCTAAACTCGATATCATCAAATTTTGTATTAAACTATAATTGTTACATATATTACGTAGCATAGCCAAAATGTTTTATGAGATAGATCATGATATATAATCAATTTCTTTGTCAATCTAATATATGAAAATAAATTTTTTATGGTAAAAACAAACCTAATAGACAAATGATGAAGATAGTTGGAATGGTGAACGATGATCGTAAAATTTTCTTCATATCCTAAATAATAGAAATGAATTGACGGAGTTTTATAAATTAATAAAAAGAAGGAACAAAGTGTGCTTGACATTCAAACACACGTATATATAATTGAAGTTGGATGATTTCACATTCAAAAGTCTAATTTAAGCTATCCACCTCTTTTAACTCCGATTGAAAGGGATTCTAATTTTACACAAATTCCACATTTTTGCTCATTTGATATGTGAAAACATGAGACTCAGTCTTTTTCTCCTTTTTTATTAAAAATTATGTTCAATATAAATAAAACAATGAAAATTCATTAAAATACATATCTAATTTATAATATATATCTCTATATATAACAGTTATAAATCCATATTGTTGGATCAACAATTTGTATCATTTAGTAAAGTTAGTAGTTAATCAACTTCCTTGTTGGATCAACAATTTATATTATTTAGTAGAGTTAGTAGTTAATCAACTTCCTCTTCTGTGACAAACACACACATAACGAAAATGATGAAGAGGAAAACAAAATGGCTTTCGCCCAAATGCGCTTACTCATATATTTACATGGTATAAGAGAAAGTGGTCGTAGATGAGAAAAGATGAGCAAAAAGAGAGTTCTAGAAAAATGAAAAACGAGGGTTTCCAAAAGCTTTCTTCTTCCTTTAATTTTTGTTGCATCTTTGAATCTTGTTCTTCTTGAGTGTTAACCTGAAAAACCAAGAACATCATAAGTTAGTGGTGTGAGTAACCTCTTGTATATAGTGAACTCTGGGAGCAAGAGTTCTCCCAGAGACGTAGCGGTTAGAGACCGTGAACTTTCTATTTTATGTTTTATCACTTATTAATACACTATAAATTCTTTTGTTAAACTTTTAGCCCTTCTTTTTTTTTTGTGAAGGGGTAAAAGTTATCATATAGTTTTTTACATAGATTTGACATAGAAACGCTAAACTCGATATCATCAAATTTTGAATTAAATATGGTATATGATAAATTATAAAAAAATTGTTAAATTTTGTTTAATTTTTTTGTCACTTCTTGGATGATTATATGATAGGAAATCTCTCATGACCCTCAGAACTGCAACAACTAACCAATCGGATTGTCTTCGTAGCTATCCAAATTCATTGCAGTTTCAATTAAATTAATAAAACCCTAGAAGTTTAGGAATCCAAAACTTCAGTTCTGATTCAGAAAACAAAAACTGAAAAAGGAAAAATCCAGAAGAACAGAGAAAGAAGAAATCGATCTGGAAAATTTTGGGAAAAAAAAAATTTGGACCATTTCTCGATTTATGCGTGTCATCCTTGCGCAGGGGCCATGCTAATCTTCTCTGTATCGTTCCAATTTATCGGATGTCCCCGAAGGGACAATCATATTCTTCACTCTGATAATATATAAACACAACTTCTTTTCTTTATGTAAGCGATGTGGGACTTTCAACATTACTTAACAACTTAAACGGGACCGTTTCAGAAAAAGGCCTCTCCCTCTCTTCCTTCATAAGCCCATTTAATATTATTAAGCAGCCAAACCATGACCGTTTTGTTTCTATGGATCAAGATTCAAATTTTTTTCTTTAGCATCTTTATATTCCACAGTTTCTGGCCAAATCGAAGAACAGCCGAAGAGATACTAGTACCAGAATGTTGGTACATATATCGCCACTATGCAACGGTGTGCGCAGCGTTGTCACTCTTAGTGAAAAAAAAAAACGGTTGTCGCATTGACATTGAAGTTGATTTTGTATACAAGTGTAACTCTTAGAAAACTTGATTGTACTCCATTGGACTTCTTCATCCAACACATGACTGCACCACATCCTCATGGATTCTTGCCAAATTCAAGTTTGTTGCCCCAACCATTACCAAACTAATACCTATATTGTTTAGTACTTATAGGTGCTTTGTTGCGAATACGGTAACTGCCCTTCATCCACATATTTGAACATGATTGAAACACAGTCATTAATTCATTATTCCACAGTTGGTCTTGTGGTCACTTCCCTGTACCTAGCAATGTACATCCTGGAGATGTGGCTAGTAACATAAGAATAGCTATTCAGTTGTATGCTATGATAAGTGATGCAGCGATGGTTATGTTCTCGGCGTATAGGGATTTCAATGCCCTCGTCGGGTCAGAGAAGGTTTTCAAAGAACCGGTGTGAAACTTGTCGATGTGCCAAACGGTAGGATAGATGCCGCTGTTCAAAGATGCAGCTAATAAGGATGTTCTGTTAGATTTCACTTAGACTATCTACGGCTCCATTGCGAAATTTGGTATAAATGTTATGTCAGCAGCAAAATAGTCTTTGTAAGAATTGAAAGGCATTTTAATGTTATTCATCAGTCAACCATCAGCTATCAACAGTTACAAAGGATTCTATTAAAAATGGGAATTATTCTCTTCTCCATGGAATCTTTATGAAATTGTCATAATGTTCTTTGAACAGTGTGACACAATGAGTTAAGCATAACAATTAATTCTCATATGAGATATACGGATATAACAGAACTTTAAGATCTCTATTTTTATTTCCTTTTCGGTGTTGCGATGATGATGAATGGAGCCCGAAGGCACAATGAAAATGGAGGCAAAGCATATGAACTATGGCGTCTTTAATGCCTCGGTCTTACAAATGGGGCAGAGATTCTTGATCATGACCCATTGCTTGATACAGTCCTTGTGGAATTCATGTCCACATTTCAAGGTTCCAAGATTATCACCTTCTACATACTCTTCCTGTCAAAACAGCAGCAACAGGCTTTTAAACATCAGTTCATGTGTTGAGGCAGAGTGCTATGTCAGCTTAAAAAGAGACACAGAAGAGACTCATTCAATCAACCAATGTTACCCCAAAATCAACATTTTCATAGCTGATCAAAGATTACATATCAAAGCTTACGATATCAGTTCAGCTAGTAAATCTGCTAGTTTCATTATGGCACATCATCGTCTATGGTGAAAAATATCAAAGCCTACAAATTTTAGACTTGATCAAGGAAGTGAGACTAAACGAAAACAAACAGCATCAATTCACAAAACTTATTGCGGAGGACTATTGTTAGATGAAACAAACCGGCTCAGGGAGTAGTGGTAAGAAAAAAGTACAGAAATGCAGGTTTGATAACGATCTCCATTGTTAAATTGCCAATGAACCAAGGAACCAAGAGTTATCAGATACCGAGAACCAAGTGATAGTTAATGTTTTGTTATAAAGTCCCCAAACTCTCCAAAAGCCCAAAGTTTCCCAAACACCAAACATCCTAAACTCTGCTTATCAATTAGTCGGTAAGTATTACACGATCAAAACACTTCTCGTTCATACTTAAATCAAATACCTGACAAATGCAGCATGGCTCTATGTTCTGATGCAACTCAGCAGAAGAAGCAGAAGAAAATGTATGTTTGTGCTGTTTCAATGCTTTCAAAATGACCTCTTCACTTAGGCCAGTGCTCACATCACCTATGCGTTCCCCAAGTGCCAATAGCTCCTACATTCATTCCCACACATTGTTGGAAAATGGGAAGATTGCGATTAACAGTCAAAAAAAGGAATACTACCTCATACGACATGTTGTCAACATCAAGCCGCATTTCCCGATGCCTATCATGCATGTCAGTCATACCCTGGTAGATCAGTGGATCGAACACCATGTAATCCTTATCAAATTGAAAAAAAAGAGGAAGATCACGCATCAGGACAACAGATTCACCAAGAAATGGAATGTGTTCTATCCACTAACTGATATTAACAGGCAGGATTGTCGAAAATCACTCGTGTCAAAATCATACCTCAACCCGTAAATTTTCTCCTCTTCTCATGGCATGCAACACCTGACGTATCTGCTAACAACAAATAGAGGAATCAGTGCAACTCACTATTAAAATACTTATCGAACTGCATCAAAACTATATACATGTAGCAGTTGCTAAGGAGGTTTATAAACTAGATTTAGAAAACAAGCATTCCCAAAACGTAAGACATCAATATGGTTTGCAGATGGAAGTGTATCAGAGTGCATCAAACTGCTCTAGTTCTCGTATAGATAAAGTTATACCTTTCAGAAGACACATTGACTAGAAATCATTGGCACAAAAGCTTAATAGCAGAGCCTTTAAGATTTTTATTTAACAAAAAATGATATGGCGTTGTCACTGGCATCCAAAGAAATCAGGTTTCAACCAAATTATGGTGTATATGCAAGTCTTCAAATTTTGTTCAATACACTTTCCTACATAGCCTTACTTCAAAAGAGAATAATAGTTACCGACCATGCATGAATCAATTTTTTAACTCTATCTATATATAGTTGGACCACAAAAAGTACAAAACCAGATAATTTCACAACCCGCAGGTACATACTCAAGCATATTAAGATTCTACAGAGAAAATCACAAGAAAACCTCATAACAAAAAGAAGACAAACTTAGCTAAAAACCCTGAGTTTCAGTCAGACGAACATAACAAACTAAAAACCATGAAAACAACCAATAAATGCACACTCTTAACCCTCATTTATTGATAACATGAGATGCTTATGAGGGAAGGATTCTCCTATCAAACCATTGGATAATAAAAGATAGTGAAAGATACTATAAAGATTCATACACGGCATCAACCAAATTATAATACAAGAGCCAGTATTTAATGAAACCCATACCTCGGAAATGATTTGATTCCTTCCATTACCGTCAGCAGCTAAGCTTCTCCCTATGTGACGCAAGTGGAGAAGTTCATTTTGTCTCTCCAATAACAACCCTGATCTTCTTTGCCGTGAGCGATGGCTCCGGCTATTAGAACCAGATGGCATTGCCACCTCATTTGAGGAAACAGAGGGGCCTGCGGGTAATAATGGAAGAGAGGCACCGTGACTAGCAGATTGAGATTCAATATTAGGAAATAAAGACCAAGGAGAAAGTTCTGATGTTCTCGATGGATTATGTATTGGGGCACTCTGAGGAGGAATCCATGTGGGATTAGGCAGTGGCGCATGAATAGCTGAACTCGGCCCCGCTCGAGGAACAAAGGGAGAATCTATAGATGAACCAGGGTTTCCATGTGTGAAATTCCAAAGATCATGCACCGGCTGTCTCATATCAGTTGCAGGTGCAAACATGGGCTGCTCTGGGTTGCTTCTCGGTGTTTCCCACTGTGGTCCTAATCGCTCTGCAGGCATCCCAATACCCGAAGAATTACTGGCTCTGGAACTGAAAGAAGCATCCCAAGCAAATTGGTGTATATTCCTGGTCAAAGCAGGGAGGTGGACTATATTTGTCTGATTCTCACCAGTGCTTGAGCCACTAGTTGATCTCACATCTAGAGGATCTACAAAGGGAGAGTTCAATGGTAAATTCTGTTGCAAAGAACCAGTGGGACTAACAGAAGTTCCAGCGTGTGATACGCTGAATGCTACAGACTCCTGAGGCTGCCTGGGATTTAATCGTCTGCCAGCTCTGGATAAGGTGTCAGTGTTTCTTGCAGAATGAAAAGCACTGGCTGCAACTGCTCTTCCACCACCAGATCCAAACATTTGTTCTGTCCGGCCAAAATGATTAGTAACATTTGGAGAACTTTGTGAGGGTGTAGCCAAACTTAAGCTACTTGAAGCACCATACTGAGAAAGACTTGCATGTGAAGCACTATTTTCAGTCTGAACAATGCGGTTAGGAGTTTCACCAGAAAAATAATGACTAGGGGATCCTTCAAGAGCCTTTCTTTTGCAGGACGAACCCCAACCACCAAACGGAGAAGCAGGACCACTGCTGCTCTCCCCTGCGGCCTGAATTGAGGTTCCTAATGAACTCCCATAGCTATTATGACGGATAACTACCCCGGAAGTCTGTGCACTACAATTATCGCTGTCCATGTCCATGCTCATATCTACATGCTGTGGCATAGGATTAGAGCTTGAACCGCGCAAGAAAGAAGGCCCATTCCTGATGTGACTGCCAGCATGAACCCCTCCATCTACCATCATACCATTCAGACCTAATTCCCTTCCCTCAGATCCATAGCCAACAAAGTGATGAGCACCATCTTGAGGCAGCTGGTGACTTGTCTTCATTCCAACGGAATTGACCTGATCAGAAGGACCTGATATGGAGCTGGATTCCCCAAACCTCCACCAGTTACGATCTTGAGCAGCATGAGAACTCGAACTTGCATAAGTTGGTCGGCCTGAAGGTGTACTATTGTTTGGAAATCCAGTGTCTGCTGGATTCAGCATGTTATTCATAGCGGTCTCTGTGCAATAAATCGATTCACCATCTGCCTGATTCACTTCAGTAGACGAACCACCAGTATTCCGTGGCCCTTGCATTGGATTCATACCTTAAACTAGAACACAAGGACTTTCCAGTAAATAGATCAAAAGTTACAAGCACTTTGAGGAGACCTAGAGTCACACAAACAGAAAGAGACAAGAAAATAAATATGCATAAGAAATCCATGAATGAGAAAAATTAAAAACTGAAATAAAGGCAACCTCTTTACCATTACGACCACCACATGCCAGCCAGCTATCTAGCTTCAGGCCACACTCATGCTCCAACTATAGCTTCTGCATTATGTTTCCAATTGATACCACAAAAAAGGCAAGATCAGAAACTTTCACTATCATATATCAAAAGCATCATTTCTATGTATCAAAAGTTTCTTACATAAAGATAAGAAATTGAGCAACTAAGTACCAAAAACTCGTCAAACTAGTTGACATAACAACTAACATATACGCAACTAACAAACTACACCACTTCTATGAAAGTAGAGAGAAACAAAGTACTCATTTTTAACACAACAGAGAGTAAATATTGTCAAACTTGATGAAACCAAAACAGTTGTGATACTAATTACCTAATCACAAAGGAACCATGACTAACACATTTTCTGATTCAATACCAAGTTACCAACCAAATCAAGTTACTTACATAAGAAATCAAATCCAAACAATCCGATGCCAAATTAGAAAATTTCCAATCTTTAGATGAAAAACCTAAAGTGGGTCAATCCCGATCCGTCCAGCTATTGCAATGCAACAAATCCTGAACCAAAATCACAACGATCTGAACAATGAACACAGATTAGAGCAAAATTAGAAAAACAAACAAAAAAAATGTGAAATTTTTTATAAAGATTGAGAAAAATGGTACCTGCAAAATCAATCCCTAGAGAATCAAAATGGGTCTCAAAAAAAGTTGCAATTGAAATCAAATTAATAAACTTTATGTAGTTTCAATTTCTGGGTGTGGTGTGGTGTCCTCTCCTCTACACGATTCTTATTAGGTTTTAGCTTCTTTCTCGATTAGCACCAAAAAAAAATGCAAACTTTTTCTCAGAGAGAAGAAAAAGAAGAAGAGAAATAAAAATTTGGTAATCAGAAGAAGAAGCACATAAGCAATGGATGAGGGAGAAGAAGAGAAGATTCAGAGACGTACAGATTTCATGTGACAAATTTTTGTCCAAAAATCAATATTTTTTTTTAGTTATTGTAATGAATGAAAACTTGGAAAGATATGATTTTTTTTTTTTCTTTCTTTAGAAATTAATAAAATAAAAGTTTGGTGCTAAATATCGTCTCTGACATATTTTTTTAAGTGTTAGATTTTGTTGGACGTCACTTGTCTTAGTGCTGGTCTTTGGTGCTGTCCTAGGCTCTAAAGCTACCAAACTGGTAATAATAACTTAATAAAAGACAATTGTTACGGTAAGAATAATTTTGTAGCTTTTTCTTTTCTTTGTTATTGGAAATAAAACTCATTTTTCACCAGAATTTTTAGACTTTTCCAACTTACTGTTTATGCTTAACATTGTCTCATCACTAATCTTTCAAGCAAATTGCTAATTTCTCTTTAGTAGATTATTTGTCATTTATGACAATCACTAGACCATCATTTTGTTAGCTTTACTTGACCAATAGAGAATGTATCATTGGCCATCCTTATACTCCCTATATCAACTAATTTATAAGCTCTATAAACCAGTCTTTTCTTAGAGAGTTTCAGTTTCTTTTCATCCGCAACCGAAGTGACAGTGTCTTTAATTTGATCAGGCTTGGCCCTATGTATGTGTTGGGAGTGCATTTGCACCGGATCCATCAGAATTTTTGGGTTTCTTTTAGTCTAAAAAGCCCAAATTTTTATTTTTTAAAAATATGTAGCAATATTGGTACAAAGTTTTTTCTAGCTTTGGACCCTATAAAAATTTGAGCCGTGCCTAAGTTTGATCATACTGTTTTGGTAAAGAGTTCCGAAAATAGATGGCATGATCTTACTTAGACATGAAACTAGTTTCAAGAAGACATCCAAATTCTCAATCCATTAACTTTAGAAAAGTTGTTTAAGATATACTCGATTAAGTAGAGATTGCGATAAGTCGATTTTTGTAAAAAGTTTTCCCATTGCAAGATAAGTTGGTTCATCAGTTACCTTTCTCGAGACAGGTATCTGAGAAGTGATAACTGATGAACCAAGTAGTCTCGATAAAAGTAACTGATGAAATAAGATAGGTTCATCAGTTACCTTTATTGAGAATCAAAAAGATTCATGACTCGGCACACCCATAGTGTTCTTCTTTACAACTGCTACTTTCTCTCTTGTTTATTCACAGAGTTTTTTATGAACCATTTATCGATTTTTTTCATTTTCACATGTGCTTGTTATGAATGTACTAGTAAAACTATTTTTGATATGAATGTATTCTTACTTGTAAAACTTAAGAATGTGATTCATTTGCACATTGGTTTAACGTCTTAATTTACTTCTTTTGATCACATTTGCCCTGAAATTTGGTAAATAAGAATACATTCTACGAATGTATTCTTACTTGTAAAACTTAAGAATGTGATTCATTTGCAGATTGGTTTGACGTCTTAATTTACTTCTTTTGATCACATTTGATCTGAAATTTGGTAAATAAGAAACCAAAATTAAAAATATCAAATCAAGTTTCAAACAAAACAAAATAAGTTTGGGGGTGGAGGAGAAGCACAAACCATGTCAAAGAACTCCTACAGAAAAGGAAAGAAACAAGAAACTCTGCGAGGTCACCAACTGTGTATGGAACAGACAAAGCCACACTTCGAAAAATGTATTTTCAAATCGAACAGAAAGACAATATAACTTAAGAAACAAGATTGTCGTTCAGGTTCAAGGAGGCAAGCTGCTCGGCTGTACCACCAGCAGCGACACTTCTGAGAACGTCCATAGCCTCAGCTACTTTAGCCTTGAGAGCTTCAGGTGACTCCAAGAGATGTAGCACTTCAGTCTGATCCATCTCCAGAAGCATCCCAGTCACTTTAGCTGCAGACTCTGCCTCTAGCTGTTCCACCAGCGGATACAAATTCTCACCCAGCAGCTACACATCACAATATCACAATCACGATTTAAGAACCAAACCCCAATAGGTAAAAGTAAAGAAAAGGTTTCTCACCGTCCGCTGGAGTTCTGGAGCAGCATTAGCAAGGGATGAAGCCAAAGCTCCAATAGGAACATGCTGAGAAAGTACAGGGTCACGCAATGGCATATTACTACCCATCTCATATGGAAGCATTCCAGGTACATCAGGGGGACCACCACTACCACGGCCTTGAGGATAGCGGAACATTCGACCCCTTGGGTGCATCTGATTATTACCCACAAAGAAAGATTATCAAGAAACCTCCTACCAAGGTAGTACCGAAAAACAGATTTTTAATGTGACTGAGAAGGAAAAGAACCTGCTGTTGCTGCTGCATCATGGGAACTTGCTGCTGCTGAGATTGCTGGATCCCTCCAGGACGTCTCCCTCCAGGACGTTGCTGGCCCTGCTGAACCATTGGCATGAAGAAGTTGTGCATCGGTGCTCCACCAGGTCTCATTCCAGGTACTAGCTGCTGCTGGTAGCCAAACCCGGGCTGGCATGTACAATAACAAGTTAAGATTATCCAACACTCTTGAGAAGAACAGGAAAATGATTTATGCAACCCATATTCTTAGTAATGAGATAAAGATAAATTTATTATACATTGCTATGCCCTAAATTATAAAGCTAAAACCTCATATGGTAAAGGGGGTTTTAGTCAGCTGGAGTAAATTAATCACATGTACACTAATATAAGTTTCTCAGTAAGAAAAGTTTAGCGATTGCCTATTAGGCGCAAGGGAAAAAGCAGAAATACCTGTGAAGAAATCATAGTAGGAGGTGCCTGACCATAAAACATTGGTTGTCCAATTCCGGGACCACCAGGGGGATAAATTGGCATACGAGGACCAACCGGTGGTGGCATTGCAACTGGTCTCATTTGGGAAAACTGAGCCTGTTGACATTGTAATGTACGCGTTATTACATGAAATATTCACCACCATAAAGTTCACAGGACCGGGCCATATAAAGTTCAAAAGGCATCATCTAAATCTTAGATTATAGAATGTACAACAGTTAGAGGGTACATATATGGGCATTCTTTCTTACTTTATCCACTATTACACAAACAAAATTGGAAACAGTGAATAGTAAAATAGATGTATGTATTACCCTTACAAGTCAGGGACAATGTTATACTTGAGAATGTTGGCAAAATATGACCATAACTGGTGCTAGATAAGATATGTATGTTAATGAATTATATGAGTCAGATGACCCAGACCTAGATTCTCAAGATGCATTTCTGTATCAGTGATGGAAATTCTAAATAGATATGTCAATTTCACATTCAATATTGGCAGGTCCAATTGCTTAAAATTGACACATAAACAAACAAAAAGAGTCAGAAAGCTCATATCTTATGCTACGACGCAATTTCAAGAGAACATACCTGGAGTCTGGCCCTTCTATCCTCCTTTCTCTGGGCAACAGCAACATAGAGAGGTTTGTTTTCAATCATTTTACCACTCATCTCTGACATCTGTACAGATTTCAGTGTTAGTAACGCTGAAGGTTATCTTTATTCATCATATACGAACTCAGCAAGACATTACAATTGGCTTACAGCTTTGGTTGCTTCTTCAGGAGTTGAAAATGCTACAAAACCCGAGCCCCTGCTTATGCCATTAGGATCCCGCATCACCTGTTATGTTTTAGGAAATGGAATTTATATATGCCATCAACAGAATATAGTACAACTCAGATTAGCAGAGAAGGGAATATTGGACCTTGCAAGACGTAACAGTGCCATAAGGTGTAAAGAGCTCTTTGAGTTTCTCATCAGAAACACTGTCATCTAAATTCTTAACATACAAGTTAGAACTTTGAAACTTGTCAGCAGCTTCCTTCAAACTCTGCTCATACTGAACCTTTAGTTCCATTTCCCTTTCAGACTTCTTCTGAGCTCTACCAACAAACCATTCCTTATCATCAAATGTTTTTCCATTGAGAGACTCAACAGCCTTAGCAGCATCATCAGCATTTTCAAAGTTAACAAACCCAAAACCCTTTGGCTTCCCCTCTCCATCTTTCATCACCACAGCACTTGTTATCTTACCAAACTCACCAAAAATGTTCTTCAAATCATCATCAGTGGTTGATTCAGCAAGATTCTTCACATACACGTTGGTGAATATTGTTTTGTTACCAGTAGAATCTCTTTCTTGCCTCCTGAGGAAAGGTCCAACATACACTTGCTTGTCATTTAGCAACATACCGTTCAATTGACTCATAGCTTTCTGAGCAGATTCTTCAGTTTCATATTGCACAAACCCATAGCCTTTTGATTGTCCTGAAGAATCCACAGCTACCTTGCACGAGATAATGTTCCCGAACACAGAAAACGTATCATGCAACGCTTTGTGGTCAATGGATTTGTCCAAATTCTGCCATATATAACCATGGTTAGCAGGAGGGGAAAAAAAAAGAACAAAAAAAAGAAGCAAAGCCTAAGGAAAGCAGCTACATTGCCATTATTCCAAAACCAAAACAAGATTTCAGTATCCCAATAAAATAAAGATACCATCTTCCTAACCTCAACCTATCATATATTCGCAGAAAAGGAAAGCAATTAGTCGAACATCGAAAGTAAAGACACATAACAATACCTTGATAAAAATATTCCCAGCACCACTTCGACGAACACTAGGATCACGATGAGAATACATAACCCTAACAGGTTTCCCATTAAGAGGTATATAGTTCAGTTCCTGGATCGCTCTTGCAGCTGCCACATAAAACACAACCATGAAGAGTCCCATCAAATGTCAAAACAACATATAGCAAAGGATAAAACCAAACCATATTCTTAGAATCATCCACAAAAACAATAAAGTCACGACCTTTGCATCTAATATAAGTGCACTATTCCAAAGTTACTAACTTTGTCACCCAAACACTACTAAAACTCAATAATAGCAAAACCCTAATTAAAGAGACTAACTTACCATCTTGAGGACTGGTGAAATTGACATAACCATAACCAAGAGATCTCCGAGTAGCTAAATCTCTACAAACTCGAACTGATACAACTTGACCCATCTGGCTAAACGCATCAAAAAGCTGCGAATCCGTCACGTTTGGATCCAGATCTCCAACATAAAGTGATGTAGTACCAAACTGAGCCGCTGGTGCTGCACCAGAACCAGTAGCCATAGCCGGAGGAACAGAGCCATTCACAGTTTGACCTTGAGATTGAGATTGAGATTGAACCTGAGCCATTTTCTTTTTTTGGTTTTTGGAATTTTTTCTTCTTTTTTTAGGGTTTTGTTTTTTTCTTTAACTCTTCCCTCTCCTCTCGTTATTTCTTCTTCACAGTAATCAAAATTTTGAAAAACCCTAGAAAACGAAAATCGATAGAGGAAAACTGAAACGGAGAATTAAGAAGACGAAACAGAGAGATTGGTTTTTTTATGGTTTTTTTTTTTAGGGAGGAGAGGGAAGAAGAAGAAGAAGGAAAAAGGGGTAAAAAGCAGTTGCCGGCGGCGAAGCCTGCGGCGGCGCGTGCGATATCGAAGATAGTTTGGTGAGAGATTTGGGGGAAATGTTGAAAGAACAAACTGCGAAGAGGAAAGAGAGACACGACGATTCTTATTTTTTTGCTTTTATAATTAGATGAATTTTTTTTTTTTTTTTAATTCCCGAACCCTAGTAGAAATGTTGAGAGAGTTGTGTTAGGAAATATCTCAACCGTTAGATTTGTTCTGAAGTAAAACGTTTGGATTTTTACTCTAGGTGATGTGAAAAAGGTTTTACTGTTTTACACATGTGACATTGGAGTGGATTATGAGCTAAGATCGGAATTTGGCTGCGTTCCTAGTCCCAATCTGATTCCCCTTTAGACTTTCTTTTTCCAAAGCCGAACAGTTCATTGATTTTTCGTCATAACCGGTCCGGATCATAAGTCTTACATTGTTAAACACTATTTTTTGGGAGAATTTCCAAAAAAAAAATTACATTAATGAAAACGGCTCAAATTTTTAGTTGTGCATAGGATATTACTCAAAATTTGGAAACTTTGGATCGGCACTGGTTTTCGTGCTTGGTTTCTAATATAGTCTTGTTTCGTTTGAATTTGGTTTTCTTTGTGAATTTTTGTTTCCTTTCTTTTTTTACATCGGTCTCTTTCTTTTGGGATTTGTTATTAGAGGATCCATATAAAGCCAAAAAATTCGATCTCATAAAAAGTACATTAATCCATGGGATTAGGTCTAAGCAAGTAGATTCATATACATGGTTTTGTAATAAACATTAAAGTTGTTAACTTAGAGACTCTCCTCTTTCCCTTTTTTTGTGAAATCAAATCAAAGTCATTGTGTTCTTGATGACAATCTAAATCTCTTTTCCTCTTTTCCCTTTTTTGTTCAATGAAGCTTCATATGAGCTAACTTATTTATCTACCTTAAGAAAAGTTTGAAATGTTTCTTGTTTTAAGATTTCCTTCATTTGTTTTCCTGAGAACTTTTCATCTTCCATTTGTTTTCCTGAGAATTTTTCATCTTCCGTCGCATTATGTAATTTCCACTTGAAAGTTTAAATCAAAACTCAGATGACAAAAAACAATTGATGTGAATTTCTAATTTAGCTAACTAAGATACATAATAGGGTCTAAGAGGATATTAGATCCATGTGAAGTTATTGATATAATTTAAAAAAATAAAATAATTGGTTGCATCAGAATTTGATCTTGTGAACTATATGTCTATATCAGCTAAATCAAGAATTTGAAAGGAAGTACATCCTCCAAAAGAGATTTGAACCATTGTCAAAAGATGAGTTCTTGGGAAAACAAGTTTGCAGTTGCACACGGTCGAATTGAATGACGACTGTAGTGAGTTTACGCCATTGGTTCTAGATCCAATGCCGTTGTATCACCACGTACGTGTTAAAAGGAATTATTTCTAAAACTTTCGCCGATTTTCGACCAGTGTTAGAAACCAGAAAAGCCTTCATGGGAGCTTTATTATGAGTGTTATTCAGGTTAACATCTAGTATTTTTGGGTGTGTAATGGAGTTTTTTAACAAGTGTTATGCCAACTCTAATGCTCATATATACAAGTATACCCGTATGCCATACTTGTTTAAACCATTTCGACTCAGTTACCACATTGTTCAATCTCCCAACATTCCAAATTTCATATCGAACAGAGCGAAAATGTGATGTATGGTATTAATTGGCATTTCGTGCGGTGAAACTTTCAATTAGCAAGAAGTATGGAAAACGAAGATTGATCTCCTATACTTGAATTTTCCATAGATATACCAAATAAATTTAATTCAGTCTATACCATTGGCTTATTAGATCTTTATTATATAGGAACACACCACAAACTTTCTCTAACCAAACAGTGGCAAAAGCTAATATTCTCGTGTCTTACCGGAACTTCAAAGACAAAGTTAACAATTCATCTCACAACACGAAACATGTTCTATCTTTCTACTTTTGACCATTCAACTCTTCCATGAACTTGCCAACATCATTATAAGAAGACCCTCCTTCCTCCACAGCGGTTTTAGCCATCTCACCTAGCTTCTTCGCTCGTATCCGCCTTTCCTCTGCCTCTTCCCCAGATATCACTTCCCTCACTGCTTTCTCCACTTCCTCTCTACTAATCAACTTTCCTTTTTTCACCAACTCTGTAGCTCCTACATTCACTCCTATTCTCAACACTTTTGTCAAAAGCTTCTCGTTGTAGAACTGTTCCGCCCCCATTGGCCAAGTTACCATAGGCAGCCCCGCGGCAATGCCCTCCATAGTCGAGTTCCATCCGCAATGTGTCACAAATCCTCCAATTGCTTTGTGGTCAAGTATCAGCACTTGCGGGGCCCATCCGCGTATTAACAGCCCTTTTCCTATAGTTCTCTCCTCAAACCCTTTAGGCAACCACTCTTCATTTTCGCCTGTCCAACCACACAAACACCAAGTCATAATGGTTAGGAGAATTCTACAAAGTAATATATAAAGTACATGAACCGATCTACGCATTGCTATGGCATCATAGCATATTTGGCAATAGGAAACTATATAAATATGTTAAACATTGAGGATAATATGAAAAAGACCACGTTGATTAATAATGGTTAAAGAGGAACAAATTACCTTGGTTTTCATTTTTGCTAACCACCCAGATGAAATTTTGTCCAGAGCCTTCAAGACCGAAAGCGACCTCTAACAGCTGTTTGTCGGGTAAGCCAGTTCCGCTGCCAAAGGACAAGTAAACTACTGAACCAGGTGTCTTAGAGTCAAGCCATTTAAGGCATTCTTGCTCATCAATGTTAGCCTTTTTCCCTCTTCCAGCTTTCTCCGCAAACTCTCTGTTGGATAGCGAAAGCGGACCGATATGCCAACTTCTTTTTGCCACAAAACTACGGTAAAAATCAGCATAAGCAGATTCCATCTCGTAGAAGCTATTCACCAAAACACCAAAGCTACTGGTCTCTGATTCCCTGACCTCTATCCAAAACTTTCCAAATGGAGTTTCTTCGTCGGCAACATTGGCTTGGTCTTCTGTGATTACTATGTCCCCTGGGAGACCATGTATTACAAAAGGAGTAGAACTCGTAGCGACTTTCTTGTAAGGCTTATGAATCCTCATGTTATACGAACAACACAAGGCAAAAGATGATGTGCCGTGGAACACAAGTCTTGGGACACCAAACTTTTCAGCAGATTCTGTTGCCCAAGGGAAGAACATATCGGCTACAAGAGCACTTGGTTTGGTGGTTTCAATGAAACTCTCCAACTGCTGTTTCATATACTTGGTAGAGAAAAGAAACTTCAAGAACAAGTCACCTGAGTCAGATTTTTGGTACGAGTTGATGAAGTCACGGTTCTCGCATCCTTCTGGCAATCCAAGCTCTACACATGGGAAATCGAGGATCTTGATTCCGATTTCGAGATCAGGGTTTTGATCTTTGAATGCTTCAATGGGTTTCTCCAAGATCTTAGCATTGATTGGGGTTGTGAGGAGGGTTGATTTGGCTCCTCTTCTTGCGAAAAGCTTGGCCATGTCTAAAATTGGAATCATGTGGCCATGAGCCATGAAGGGAAAGAACAAAATATGAACTCGCTCTGTTTTCATGTTTGGTTGTAGTAACCAAATTCTTGATTTAAGGATTGAAAAGAAAATCAAAAGAAAACAGAACAAGAATGAAAAAAATTCTGCAGATCTAAGAACTGAAATATGTGTGATGTGATCAGACAAAACAAAGAGGGTTTTTTGTCTAGTAGCTCGGGACTTTTTTTTTCTCTGTCTGAATTTTTCTTCCAGTTTTGGACATATGGAGATATTTATACACACACCTACACTCGTGTGTGCACAGTGCACGTAAAAGAAGATAGTGGAAGAAGATCAGAAAAAATTAATTAACGAATCTCGTACGTCTTTGCATACGTCATCTTTTACTTTTGTGTTGCCTTATTCTAGTTCGTCATCTTTGGTTGGCTACAAAACCGGGAATCGAGTCAGCACATGTGTTGTGTCTTGTAGAAGCAATCTTTGACTTCTCACTTGGCGATGGGTATTGAGCAAGGATAATTGCTTTTTCTTAGTACACCATAAATTTCGGAGGCTTGGCATTAAAAAAAAAAAAAAAAAAACAAAAGAAAAACTAAACCAGATAAACCGAATTATTCACTTCTCAATATTTGGATAAATCAAATGATTTCTTTACTAAACTAAAAGAGTGTGACTGGTACATGCGAGTGAATTTCATGGATTTTACATTCTAATCGATTTCATAAATGAAGAAAGTTACACCTTTTGTCAATTTATATTGGTAACCTATGGAATGGTGAATAGCGTTTTTAACCCTTTTTTTTTTGTTAAACCAAGGTAGTTCTAGGCCTTTGGCCTATAATCTTTCCAGTGCTCGGAATCAGCTTTCCGACATTTCAATTTAAAAAATACCCTTCCGTACTAAAGAAAATTTGAACCCGGAGAACAAGGGAACTAATCCTATCTTACCACATATTTGGTATTTTATGTAAGTGGCTAAAGGGAAGACTTGGGTGAGAGTTATCATGGGCACGAACATGGGGTTCTCGAATATGGGGTTCTCGAGTAATTTAATTTTTTTTTTTTTCTTTTTTCTAAATCATTAGTTAAATATTACAGCCAAATCTTTCAGGAAACGCTTCTTCTTCCAGAGCTCTCTAAACCTAATCGCCGCCTTCGTCGCTCAAAGTCAAATTTCACCGTGGATGTCTGAGACCGGCGTTGGGTGGCTTCCTTAGCACCGGCGCTGGTCTCTTTTCCCTTTGTTTGCTTTTGTTTGGCTTTTTCTTGCTTATTTTGGTCTCCTCTTGTTTAGCAAGGTTTAGGTTCTGGTCGAGGAATCTGGTCAGTTTGTGT